ATATATTTTAAATAAACTAACCCAAACACTTTTACAGTGTTACAATATCTCGCCTTGTATCTATCTCGACCGCGCACTCCGCTACTACCACTGAGCTAACCGTGCAATCTCCGCTCTTTCTATGGTAATAACAGATGCTATCGATCATGTAAGATGTTAACACTCGGGCCGTCATACGAAGACGTAAACCAGAAAACAGAAGAGAGAGAGAGAGAGAGAGAGAGAGAGAGAGAGGGAGGAGAGAGAGAGGAGAGAGAGGAGAGAGAGGAGAGAGAGAGGAAAAGTGAGGCAGAGCGAGAACGAGAGCCAGGGAGGGAGAACGAGAGCGCGTGAGGGCGAGGGAGAGTGAGACACTAGTGAGGGAGAGTGAGACAGGAAGATAGAGATAATCGTAGTCACAGCCTATCGTATGAGTTACCGAGTGACGCTGCCACCACCCTGAGTTACCGGACAAGGGACCGGAGTGAGAGTCGTAGGTGTTGCAGATGGAATAACCTACCAGGACAGGTGTAGGGGCCAATTGAACGGTACAAGGATCCTGGCCTGACACTCGAATAATCCTGACCACTTGGGAACTATAGGGTACACAAGAATAAGGCGGGACACACCCAATACTAACACCTCAACACGGAAGACGAACGGGGGGAGGAGTACGGGATAATTAAGAACACTAGGTCACTGGGGCAAAGGGGACGGTAGGCCCAATATCACTAAGACAAGGAAACATTAATACACATTTAATAACACTTAATATATGATTTTTTTGAATTAATTAAATAAGACACTCCCTAACTATATTCCCTACTAGAGGCCAAGGGTACTGAATGAGGTGCTTTAGTACAAGAGAGCCGTACTTACTCGTATGTTGTTCCACCGTTTCCGGGAGATGATGTTCCTTCCCCGAGTCCACACACACCTTCCTACTGGGCTGCGCCCACTCAACTCTCTCTCCCCTGATCTGTTGCTCCTCAGCTGAACATGAGGGTTCTACCTTTGATGTTTAGGGGTTATTCCCTGAAGATTTTCATGACGGAATCAACTCTGACCTCTTTGTGATCCGATGACCGTTGACCTGACTCTATGGCTAACTTGTACAGAGGTGTAACTTTTACATTGTCTGCCGCCGCCTGTCTGGCGCCTGTGGGTTGTTCATCCTCCACGTGGCCTGTTCATGCTGTTATGATGTTCATGTACTATGTACTGCTCTCTTGTTACAGTGCACCCCATACTCATCCTGTGAGGGGATAGTTTATTGTGTACCCCATACTCATCCTTTGAGCGGTAGTTTATTGTGCACCCCATACTCATTCTGTGAGCGGCAGTTTATTGTGCATCCCATACTCATCCTGTGAGTGGTAGTTTATTGTGTACCCCATACTCATCCTTTGAGCGGTAGTTTATTGTGCACCCCATACTCATCCTATGAGTGGTAGTTTATTGTGTACCCCATACTCATCCTTTGAGCGGTAGTTTATTGTGCACCCCATACTCATCCTGTGAGTGGTAGTTTATTGTACACCCCATACTCATCTTGTGAGCAGTAGTTTATTGTGCACCTTATACTCACCCTGTGTGAAAAAGTTTATTGTGCACCCCATACTCATCTTGTGAGCAGTAGTTTGTTGAGCACCCCATACTCTACCTGTGAGCGTTAGTTTATTGTGCACCCCATACTCATCCTGTGAGAGTTAGTTTATTGTGCACCCCATACTCATCCTGTGAGCGGTAGTTTATTGATACCCTATACTCATCCTGTGAGTGGTAGTTTATTGTGCACCCCATACTCATCCTATCAGCGGTAGTTTATTGTGCACCCCATACTCATCCTGTGAGCGATAGTTTATTGTGCACCCCATACTCATCCTGTGAGCGGTAATTTATTGTGCTCCCAATACTCATCTTGTGAGCGGTAGTTTATTGTGCACCCCATACTCATCCTGTGAGCGATAGTTGATTGTGCACCCCATACTCATCCTGTGAGCGGTAGTTTATTGTGCACCCCATACTCATCCTGTGAACGGTAGTTTATTGTACACCCCATACTCTTCCTGTGAGCGGTAGTTGACTGTGAATGTCCAGTCCATTCACAGATTGTGAATGGCCAGCCTGTGTTGGTTGTTATGGTAGCTCCACACCCACCCAACTGGGCGGCAGCTTTACAGTCATGTGCTCCACACCCACCCAACTGGGCGGCAGCTTTACAGTCATGTGCTCCACACCCACCCAACTGGGCGGCAGCTATACAGTCATGTGCTCCACACCCACCCAACTGGGCGGCAGCTATACAGTCATGTGCTCCACACCCACCCAACTGGGCGGCAGCTATACAGTCATGTGCTCCACACCCACCCATCTGGGCGGCAGCTATACAGTCATGTGCTCCACACCCACACAACTGGGCGGCAGCTATACAGTCATGTGCTCCACACCCACCCAACTGGGCGGCAGCTATACAGTCATGTGCTCCACACCCACCCAACTGGGCGGCAGCTATACAGTCATGTGCACCACACCCACCCAACTGGGCGGCAGCTATACAGTCATGTGCTCCACACCCACCCAACTGGGCGGCAGTTATACAGTCATGTGCTCCACACCCACCCATCTGGGCGGCAGCTATACAGTCATGTGCTCCACACCCACACAACTGGGCGGCAGCTATACAGTCATGTGCTCCACACCCACCCAACTGGGCGGCAGCTATACAGTCATGTGCTCCACACCCACCCAACTGGGCGGCAGCTATACAGTCATGTGCACCACCCTCACCCAACTGGGCGGCAGCTATACAGTCATGTGCTCCACGCCCACCCAACTGGGCGGCAGTTATACAGTCATGTGCTCCACACCCACCCAACTGGGCGGCAGCTTTACAGTCATGTGCTCCACACCCACCCAACTGGGCGGCAGCTTTACAGTCATGTGCTCCACACCCACCCAACTGGGCGGCAGCTATACAGTCATGTGCACCACACCCACCCAACTGGGCGGCAGCTATACAGTCATGTGATCCACGCCCACCCAACTGGGCGGCAGTTATACAGTCATGTGCTCCACACCCACCCAACTGGGCGGCAGTTATACAGTCATGTGCTCCACACCCACCCAACTGGGCGGCAGCTATACAGTCATGTGCTCCACACCCACTCAATTGGGCGGCAGCTTTAAAGTCATTAGCTCCACACCCACCCAACTGGGCGGCAGCTTTACAGTCATGTGCTCCACACCCACCCAACTGGGCGGCAGCTATACAGTCATGTGCTCCACACCCACCCAACTGGGCGGCAGCTATACAGTCATGTGCTCCACACCCACTCAATTGGGCGGCAGCTTTAAAGTCATTAGCTCCACACCCACCCAACTGGGCGGCAGCTTTACAGTCATGTTCAGGCTGCACCTACAGTTAGCAAATTTTGGATACTTCGCTAAGATTTCGGGCAGCACATCATTATGAATGAAGTACTTACACATTTCTTGGACACTATTGATGGTGTTATCTCTGAATTATGCGATTTTTTCACATTCCATTATATAATGACGCAAAATATGCGAATAGTTCTACTGACAGATTTTACATATAATCAAATCTACATCAGCAGAACTTACAAACTCCCAGAGATACTAGTTGCCGAGCCTAAGCCTAGCAGTGGTAACATCTAGAAGTCTGCTAACATTATTGGATGACCCATAGACGTGCGGTACTTCCTGCAAAATAGAATGATGATAGATGGAGGAACTGGTGTGAATTTCACTTTGCCTCTAGTCTTCGAAATTTTGTTGATGTTCCCGGATTATTACTGCCTTCAGGCTGCTCAGCGGCAGTCCAAGTTGGTAATCAATTCCCTCTCTATGAACAAAATTCTTGGCCGACTCATCAGTTCTATCATGTATTCGGAGACCAATATGGGAAGGAAGCCACAGGAGCGAATTCAAAGCCAGGTCAATTATCCTCGCAAACACTGAAAAAGACGCTCACGCGCACCCACACCCCATATCTTTCAACAATATACAATACCTGTTTTCGTACTATTTTAATACAATAATTCAAGAATACATCATTCCTATGAACAGCTGACTATTACACAACAACAATACAGTTAGAACAGCTACAGTAATGCAGCAGTGCCCAGTGTTAAACAGCAACAGTACTGGTGGAGCAGCTCAGCAATGTAGCGATGCCCAGTGTTAAACAGCAACAGTTCACATGGAGTAGCTACAGTATTGCAGGAATACCCATTGTTACACAGCATCAGTACATGTGTAACTGCTAGAGTAATGTAGCAATATCCAGTGTTACACGACAACAGTTAAGGAGGAGTAGCTCAGTAATACAGCAATACTCAGTGTTTATACAAAAAGAGTACAAGTCGAGCAGATGAGTAATGCAGTAATGTCCAGTGTTACAAAGCAACCGTACATATGGAGCAGCTACAGTAATGCAACAATCCACAAAGTACGCAACAACAGTGTAGGTGGAGCAGCTCAGTAATACAGTAATACCCAGTATTACACAACAACAGTACAGGTGGAGTAGTTCAGTAATGCAGCAATTTCCAGTTTTACACAACAACAGTACAGGTGGAGTAGTTCAGTAATGCAGTAATACCCAGTATTACACAGCTACATTACAAGTGGAGCAGCTCAGTAATGTAGCAATTCTCAGTGTTACTGTCTTAAACTATTTGTTGGTAGCATCCAACTCTAACGTTAATGGTAGCAATTCTCTTGATTTTCTTTTTATAACTTACTGATATTGTAATACTATTATTTGACAATTTTATCGGTTGATTTTAATTTGTTATGAAGGTATTTTTAATCGTCTATTCAGCTCTAACTTTACTAGATAGTGTAGTAACGAAGATATTGAAAATCTTACCGACTTTATGTACATAAAATTAAATAAAACCAATTGACTCTTTTAAATCGTATTAACCAGTCTTCCTGTTACGTGAAGACTTTGGTAAATACCGAAGATTATAGCAGTGAAGACATTGATATAACTAGTCACTTTTCTTCTTGTTACCGTCACTACAAAACAGTTTAGCAGCGATGCCCCTGAAGAAGCGACGTAGGATGAAGAGGAGGAGGAAGAGAGCCAGGAGGAGGAGGAGCAGGACGTCGAGCATGAGGAACTCCACCCAGGAGAGCTGTGCCGCCGGGGACCTCAGCTGGGGCGCCCCACGGTGGCGGATGACGTACTCCGTCCAGAACACTGCCAGCTCCCTGGGCGACGTCGGCCGGTCCCTCATCCCTTCTGACATCCTCATCACGTTTTCTTTATACCTGACCACCAGGGATGTGAAAAGGAAAATATATTAGTTTCATATATTAGTTAGTAGGAAATACTTGTGAATTTTTACTACAATACCTAAGTTACGTGTGCAAAGAATTAGCAAATTACTAACTTAATATCTAGTGAAAAAACGGTATCCGCAGGAAATTTGTTTCAGTCCCTCAGAGATCATTGATTTCGTGGTCTCCAGTGGATTAATATTGTGCTACTGAAAATCAGTAAGATGTACAGAACCCGGTGAATAGTAATTTAGCTACGAATATCAACGAAATAGCACATTATTTTCCGCACGGAGCGCTTCACTACAAATGGTGCGCAAGAGATAGGAGGTCTCTTAAAAATTTATTGTGAACATAATGCTCAATGATAAATGAAAGCATTGGTGGTACAAACACACTAATGAAGTACAGCTCTCTATTATATATAATTAATTTACAGACACCGAGATTTGGCAGGTAAGTAAGATTAACTAAGTAGTCTTCAGCCACATTCGAGACGATGTGTCTAAATTATATTATAAGATGATATTGACAGGTCAGCAAAAAAATATACTGTTCTGAAATAGTGTCAATAATCGCTGACGCCGGAGATGAGATAAGTGCCAGCAAAATGATGAAACTAAGACTCTCTGATCAACTCCGGGAGCCGGCAGCCCGCGTCACTTTTCACCTCAGCAACCAGCACATTCTCCTAAGATGATAGTACTTATAGTAGCTATTTGGTCGAGAGTACCAATATGTAGTGATGGACCACCAGTAAACCAATTTTTGTAGTAATGCTTTTATAAGGTCCGGAAAAAATAATGTTAAACCGAACGTAAATATTCCTAGGCCTAGTATAGAAAATATATGTGCCATATGAGACATAGGAATGCAAGAAGAGGTTACGATAGATCTTATCATTATGTTGCGGTTAAAAACGGTTTCTGGTTTGTCCAAATTTAATAACAATAACTCTCGACCAAATAGTTACTGCAAGTACTCTCATATCAAGAGGCTGGGCTGGCGTGTGTGTGTGTGTGTGTGTGCAGTGATTACCACTGCTCTTATGAAAATTATCTTCTGAATTGTTTCTCTTCATTCAAATTTAATGCCATTTGTTTTGTATCAAATTGAAATTTGAAAGTTTTTTACGGCCACGACCGCAATAATTTGTATCACTTTCATGTTAATAATGTTCCTATTTAACTAAATTTAAATAACTAAATTTAAGTTTATCATTATGTCACTACATTAAATCTTTGGTTTTGTAAGGTGGTCTCCAGGGGGACACACGAGGCCATCAGTCTACACGGCCTCGTGTCCACTTTTCTCCTCTGGAACAGCAAAGTTCAATAAATTATTAGGTTTTGTTTTGATAATTATTCAGTATGGTAAAATATATATCTAAAGATATAGAATGTTTGCTTTTCAGTACGAAGTTGGAGACTTCGAGACTATCCTTACCCGATTTTGCAGGGTGAATGTTAATAGGTATGTGGCCAAAATGGGTGAATGTGGGTAGACTGTATTGCTCCAACTACAATGTGGCAAATAACACCATAACAAACCCTATGAGCATTCTGGCCCTGACTGCCTTCTACCTGTTGGCTACAAATTCACGCAAAAATTTAAACAGTTACTTTTCTTACAATATCGCTAAACCACAGTGCCGGCAGTCACTCAGAGAGTGAACCGGCAGTCACTCAGAGAGTGAACCAGCAGTCACTCAGAGAGTGAACCAGCAGTCACTCAGAGAGTGAACCGGCAGTCACTCAGAGAGTGAACCAGCAGTCACTCAGAGAGTGAACCGGCAGTCACTCAGAGAGTGAACCGGCAGTCACTCAGAGAGTGAACCAGCAGTCACTCAGAGAGTGAACCAGCAGTCACTCAGAGAGTGAACCGGCAGAGAGTTAACACCGCTAACCTTCAGCACATTTTTTTCTCCTCACTTCTTTCCCTTCACCCCTTGTGATCAGTTTCTCTAAACACTGTCTATTGGAGATTAAAAAAGTAGTAAACAACAAATCAAACACAGCCTTCCCATAATGTATGGCTCCAAACAAACTCCTCCCATCAACAATTCTCTGACACTAACTTTGGGTTGTTAATAATATCGGTGAGAGCATCGACGACCAAGTCCTCGGTCAGGTCCACCAACTCCAGAAAGCGTCCTATACCGGAGTCCCTCACAAACCAGGCGTTTACTGGCTGCTCTGCGAAGAGGGGAATGGCGAGGAGGGGCGTGGCGTGGTAGACGGCCTCCTGCAGGCCCAGAAGGCCGCAGTGCGTGATGAACACCTTCATGTTGTGGTGGGCTGCAGTACACAGGGCATCTTAGGTACTGAACCTACATAATCTTCAGGCTAAGTACATGGTCTTCAAGCTAACATCTACAAACGGGTTTCAGTTGCCTATCTTGCTGCCCACATCTATCCAGTAGTCCGCGGAACAGTTTCTATGTCTGAAGTTTGTCTTATATTTGTACTTACTCAAAATTGAACTGACTGATCTAGGTTGTAATTTTACTGCCTGTAGTTAGAACGTGTACGAAAACTTGATTAAAATTGTAACGAGAATATTTTAGCATCCAATAAATCTGTGTTGATTACCGAAGCTATTCTTCCAATTAATTAGTAGCCTGAAAATTTAACCATTGCAAATAAGACTTCAAAAACTAAACAATAAAGATATTAAAATTATTATTTTGCAAAGTGTATTCCTTGATAAAACATACATAATATAGTAATATTGATCATAAGGTCAAAATTTCTTGTTAAGTGCTATAATCTCACCGAGAATATCTTGTTGAGAAAACCATTTGCCAATCATTACATTATGAGGGAGGTCCTCCAGCTCGCCCTCGTATTTCCAGATGACGCGCTGCGGCAGCCTGCGGAAGGCCTGGACGAAGAGGTCGCGGTACTGGACTGGCATGTCGGTGCCTTGCGTGAAGGAGCCCAAACTGAAGTAGATGACGCCAGCGGACCCCGCCCCTGTGATCCATGACTCCAGCTCCTGTAAAGTACCCTGTGCCGAGTTTTATTTTGTTTTTCCTGGAGGAGCCCTCGGTAGTTTCCTGAAGCCATCATGCTGAGAGACTTGGTACTCTCAGCGTGATGGCTGAGAGTACCTTTCCTGCTACTGAGTCACATCAGCCATTCGAGTCCTGAGCGGCCTACTAGGAACAAGAGCCAGATCCTGAGCCTCTCATAGAAGCACGAGGAGGAAAGGATGGTTATGATGACCATCACTGCAAAAACATCCCAAAAATATCAGAAGCAACAAGAAAACCTGCAAGATTCAAGGAAAACAAGGCAGTGAAACAGCCAAACTACTCTACAAACGACTCGAGCTGAAGCCCCCCCTCCCCCTCCTTGTCAAAACTGGCCAACAACAGGTGGCTGGATGAATGGCACTTCTTAATTGCATGCTAAACGACAATGACACCAACAGCAAGAAAAAATACCACTTAGGGTGTCGTAGAGACGATCAGCGGAAACATCCAACTCTCAAGAACTCTTGACTTTCTTGGACTTGAAAATTAGAAGACGGCCTGCGACAAGCTTACTCATAATAGTTGCCTTGTCTCCACTCCATTCATTCAGAGAAGTTGCCTCTTTAAGTACAAAATCAAGTAACTCCACTAACTAGTCACAAGCACTCCCCTATTTTTCATAATCAATAACCTACCACAACACATCCCGGTAACACATAATAATTCTATTAAATTAAGCTCGAAACGCCTTTTTTAAAAGTAGTTGGAAAATGGCAACATTGTCATGCCCATTCATTCATTAATAATTTTCACCAGTAATGGCTAATTAAGATGTCAAAAGGTATAACCCATCCATGAATTAGAAATTTCTAACTCTTTATAATTTACTTATAAAACTTACATCTTAAAGAAGATCCCTCAAAACATACATGATATTTCTTTAACAATCTACTAGTGCTAATTATGGAGTAAAGTTCACACAAACTAATAATATGACTACACAGCCCTACCTCGATAGACAAGCCTTTTAAACATTAATTCTGCTGTACAATATGTGAATGTCTGATTAATAATTGAAGGCAACATGTAATTTAATCAATAGCCTATTCTGGCAAATTAACATAAGTCTGGCTGTACTCTGATTAATTTACTTTAAATTAACATATGTTCAATGCTATATTTCTATAAACATTTCTCTTTGCAACATCTCGATTAAGCAACAGTTCTCTCATTAATTAATTACATATGCACATGATTGTACTAAAATTTTACTTTATGGTATTTATGTAAAGTTAAGGTTAAGATCTGTGCCTAGTAAACAACACCCGGAAGGACAGGACAACTCACCTGAGGCAGAGGGTTGGCGGGTCGACAGTGCATGGCGCCCACCTCCACCTGCGAGGGCAGGACAACTCACCTGAGGCAGAGGGTTGGCGGGTCGACAGTGCATGCCGCCCACCTCCACCTGTGAGGGCAGGACAACTCACCAGGGGCAGAGGGTTGGCGGGTCGACAGTGCATGGCGCCCACCTCCACCTGTGAGGGCAGGACAACTCACCTGAGGCAGAGGGTTGGCGGGTCGACAGTGCATGCCGCCCACCTCCACCTGTGAGGACAGGACAACTCACCTGAGGCAGAGGACTGGCGGGTCGACAGTGCATGGCGCCCACCTCCACCTGTGACGGCAGGAGAGGCAGTGGTATACCAATACTAAAGTGGGTGTTGATCAGCGCCAGACTCGTGTTCCTCTCCAGGTCTAACAGCGGCGGCAGGTCTGGGAACTGCGCAGAGATCTGGAGAGAGGCCTTTCTGAAGATTTGCTAATAGAAACCCAAGCTTCTGTGAGACAAGGCAACTTGAAACACTGCAGTGTACAGAGATGAGCATACATATATATCTAACAAATAAAAGTAAATACTCATATATTTTATCTTACAAGAAATTTGAACTAGACCTGAAATGAATCTCCTACCATCACACACCTGTGGATCGAAAGAGCTCTATAAATTGTTCGAAATCTTGTTTACAACTGTGCTAAACTCACCTCCTGCTGTATGGCAGAAATCACCTCCCATTTCGGCCAAAAAAGTTGCGTATAAATATGTGACACAGTTTTGAGGAATCGTCGCCAGGCAGATGTTGAGGAGGAGCGGGCGTATGCGATGGACGGGATGTAGGCCGGGTGGAGGACATTACCTTGGACAGCGCTGTGATGGGGGTTCAACATTGAAGTGAAGACAGTGATGAAAGGGACTTCATGCAAGAATGGATAGGCCCCCTGTAGGTGATGATTGTTGTTGGAATTAAAAAAAAAATAATTAAACAAGAATTATGAATATGTAATAATATTTTCTACAAAGACTTAAATATTGATTAATATTCAGCGGTTTACTTATTTTAAGTATTCCAATATAAGATTTTTTTTATTAATATCCGTTTTGAGCATCATAACCTTCAAGGGACCTAACATTATTACCCAATGAACTATCACACAGGAACTGAGTGAGCTCAGTCAGGGCAGTTTAGTCTACAATCATTAAGTAGTTGAGGAGCTGCAAAACGCTACCATGTCGTCCATAATAACAACTCTGGGCCGAAGGCGATCTCATTGTGCTCTGGAGCTCTTGACCAGTGCAATATTTACAGCCTAAGCTGACTAGATCAAGGAAAGAGGGACAACTCTCCTAATTATACTGAGTCATCAGACTTGGCTTCTAATCCCTCTTAAGTACGAACAAATAAAATAACCAATAATTACCTCGTTGAACATATTGTCAACTAACATTAGATCAAACTCTTTTCTCCTCCGGTAGAGGTCCTTCACGGCGGCTGTGCGATACATTTCCCTAGCAATGGCTACCACTTTTTCCCTTAGAATTGTGAATCTTTTGTTTTTATTTTGGAACGTGTTCATATTATTTTCTTTCAAGTATGGAAGACCGTGAGTCGCCTCGTGGATGTTGGGATGTCTTGACGACTTGGGGTGATTAGTCAACATCGTCACCTGTGGAGAGAACATGAGAACATAATATTAGAGGAAACTGCAGGAGGCCTATTAGCTCAAAGAAGGTAGGATATATTTATGTCCAAAATTCTTATATATAAATCTATATAAATAAAAATGTAAATGTTCGTTTGTTCAAAATTGCTAATCTCCGAAAGTTCTTCACCGATTGCTTTGAAATTTTCACACAACTTTTCATTCGCATCCGAGCAGGTTTTTGTATACATACTATATAGATATCACGTCTGTGATGGGAAAAACATGATTTTCTTGAAAAACTGTTATTCATGTGAGGGAAATCTTCGAAACTTCTTTACCGATTGCTTTGAAGTTTTGACACAACGTTCCATTCGAATTTGCGCGTGTTTTTATATGCCTCCTTTATAGATGCCACACCTGTGACAGGTAAAAACATGCTTTCTTTGAAAAACAGTGCCATCTGTTGCAAGTACCGGCAACGCACGCTATACTAATAATGTTACGATTCCATTACAATGTTTCTGATTGCATTGATAAATTGAATTTTCATAGATTTCGATTTATTTTCATTTTGATTTAATAATTTTGTGTGACATTGCATTGGAATTGAGCTGTGTTGTTTACCATAGCGTTCATTTCGTGAGTATAAGTATAGATGCCACACCTGTGACAGGAAAATCTCATGTTCTTTTTTTTTTTTTTTTTAAATCTGCGTAACACCATCTGTTACGCGTAAGAGCAACACATGCTATACTAAATACGTTACAATTCCAATTCAATGTTTCCGATTGCAATGATAAATTGAATTTTCATAAATATCAAACTATTTTAAATTTGGTTTAATTATTTTGTGTGACCTTGCCTTGGAATTGACTGTTGTTTACCATATCGTGTATTTTATGAGTATAATTTTTTTTCCTTTTGTTTTTTTAACTCTTCTTCTTATTTTCCAGTGATGGAAACATCAGATCATTATTTGTAACCAATTTTTTGATGGGAACATCAGATCATTTGGGAATGCATCAGACGAAGGAGTGGGAATGGTGGGGAGCACAAGGGGACGGGTGTGGGGGATGGAGGGGAGGACGAGGGGAACTTCTGGGGAATTGAATGGTGGGGAGGACAAGGGGTCACGAGAGTGGAAGATGGTGGGGAGGACGAGGGGACGGTTGAGTGGGGGATGGTTCTTCACTGGGGAGTAGTGGGAGGACGAGGGGGAGAATGGTAACTGGCAGTGAAGCTTGCTGTGGCTCATATATTATTATATTTTGGTAGCAGTCTGTCTTGTAAACATATGTTGTTGAATTTAACCGAAAGGGTAAAATTAAATATTCTAACACGAATCTTCTCACTATTTCTTACATTTTTCTTCACTGTCGAAGGTAAGTGAAAAATTAACTCGGCAAAAATACTTTTTTCCATTTTTATTCTTAGTCTGACCCCTAAAAGCGTTTCGTAAGACTTCTTACATTTTCAAAGACTGGTTTACACTGCTGCATCATGCTTATATTTGTTTTGGGTGAGGTGATATGACACAAAAGTTTTGGGTGAGATGTGTATAAATTGGTTATGAAAACATAAGAATGGAAGTAACTACAGAAGGCCTATTGGCCCATACTTTCTCTTGTTGCTTCTATATTGGTTCGGGGTCTTGAAGTGGGTAAAATATAGTTATGCGTTAATTGGCTGTTGATTGCTGGTGTTGACTTTTTGATGTGTAGTGCCTCGCTGTTGTCGAGTCTCCTGCTATCGCTGTATCTATCGATGATTTCTGTGTTGCTTGTTAAGATTTCTCTGGTGATGGTCTGGTTGTGAGAAGATGTTCCTTGATGGAGCCCTGCCGTTTGTGCATTGTTAATCGCCTAGAAAGAGACGTTGTTGTCTTGCCTATATACTGAGTTCTTTGGGGCTTACAGTCCCTAAGTGGGCATGTGAAGGCATAGACGATGTTGGTTTCCTTCAAGGCGTTCTGTTTGGTGTCTGGGGAGTTTTTCATGAGTAGGTTGGCCGTTTTTTGTTTTTGTAGTAAATGGTCAATTGTATTTTCTGATTTTTGTCTGTAGCGATAACGTTCCTATTAATAATATCTTTCAGGACACTTTCCTCCGTTTTATGAGTCGTCAAAAAGAAGTTCCTCTAAAACAGTCTAATAGGGGGTACAAGTGTTGTGCTAGTTGACTCTTCAGAGGTTGCATGGCATTTCACCTTCCTTTTTATGATGTCTTCAACATAACCGTTAGAGAAGCCATTGTTGACTAGGACCTGCCTTACCCTACAGAGTTCTTCATCGACTTGCATCCATCTTGGGATGTGACTGAAAGATCAGTCGACATAAGCGTTAACAACACTCGTCTTGTACCTGTCTGGGCAGTCACTGTTGGCATTGAGGCACATTCCTATGTTTGTTTCCTTAGTGTAGACTGCACTGTGGAACCCTCTGTTCCTTTCCGTGACTATTACATCTAGAAAGGGCAGCTTCCCATCATTCTCCATCTCGTAAGTGACACTTAACACAGAATTCTGCTTGAAAGCCTCCTTCAGCTGCTGCAGACCTCTGACATCAGGTAATTGCATAAAAATGTTGTAAACATACCTGCAGTATATGGTGGGTTTCGAGTCCATGTCAACTAAGACCCTCTGCTCAAAGGTACCCATGTAGAAGCTCGCAAACAGGACACCTAGGGGAGAACCCATGTTGACCATCTACTTGCTTATACATGTGCCCATCTGGACTCAAGAAGGGTGTCTCTTTAGTGCAGACTTGAAGTAGCTTTCTTAGTATGTTTTCTGGTATGTCAAGAGGAGTACAAGCCGGATCACGATACACTCTGTCCATTATCATCCCGATTGTTTCATCCTCAGGAACGTTGGTAAACAGCTACTCTACATCCAAAGAGGCTCCTATCCCTGTGGCCTGTGCTCCCCGCAGTAAGTCAAAGAATTCTTTTGGAGACTTCAGGCTGAAAGCATAAGGTACATAAGGAGTCAACAAGCAGTTGAGTTGCTTAGCTAGTCTGTACGTGGGTGTGGGTATCTGGCTAATGATTGGCCGAAGTGGGTTTCTTGGATTGTGGGTCTTGACACTCCCATTTGCATAACCAAGTTTGTATTCCCCAATAACCTTTAGTGGGTGGAGCTCGGATTTCTTGACGTTCACAGTTTCGATCATCTGTTTACCTTCGTTTTCAATTCGGCTGTAGTGTCCTTCGTTACCCTTTGGAATTTAGTTTGGTCAGAGAGTATGACGTTAATTTTTGCCAGATATTCGTCTTTTTTCAGAATAACGTATATTGGCGACTTGCCATTGCCATTCCAAATGTTTTATTATTTTTTAGACAATTATTTCAGATTCAATGGAAAATTTTTCAAACAAACATTTGGAATGGCTATGGGCAATCCACTTTCCCCAGTTTTGAGCAATTTGTATATGGAGTTCTTCTAAACAAAGATATTATCCAGGATTATCCCCTCTAATGTTGTCTGGTTTAGGTATGTCGACGATATTTTGTGCTTATGTCCGAGTGACCAAGACCAAATTGTTTTTCTTAATGAACTTAATTCTTTGTTACTTTCAATAAAATTCACATGTGAAAATGAAGAGAATGGTACTCTTCCGTTTTTGGACATTTCTATTCCTCCAAGCGTCAGAGGTATACAAAGCCATCCTGTCATTTCCGCCAGGCTCGGCAGGGGAATACACTGGAGTAAGACCTAAGCACCTCAAGGAGATGGTAAACCCAGTTCTCGGAGAAGTTGCCGAGACACTACTGTCAGAGGTCACGAAGTTTGTCAACGACTGCCTCTCTGGGTTGATCCCAGATACAATTAAACCCTTTTTCTTTGGAGCATCCCTTTGTGCCCTCAAGAAGAAAGATAGTGGAGTCAGACCCATTGCCGTGGGTAACACACTTCGGCGCCATGTTGCTAGGGCAGCTGTCAGAAAAATTAGCATAGACGCTGCGACGATGCTTCGACCCCATCAACTAGGTTTTGGTGTCCCCCATGGCTGTGAAGCAGCAGCTCATGCAGCACGAGCCTATATCAAGCAGCTCCCAGAAAAAAAGGCATTAATTGAATTAGACTTTAAAAATGCCTTCAACCAGGTAAAAAGGGATGTGCTGCTGGAAGCAGTTCGAACAAGCTTTCCTTCTCTACTCCCCTTCGTCTCAGCAGGGTACAGTAGGGAATCGACGCTGCTGTTTGGGGAACATGAAGTTGTTTCTGCAGAAGGTGTCCAGCAGGGAGACCCACTTGCCACTTTTCTTTTTTGCATGGCTGTTAAAGAGGTCACAAGCAGGTTGACCAGCGAACTCAACATCTGGTTCCTGGACGATGGCACCCTGGCAGGGGCACAGGAGTCCCTGCTAGAAGATCTACAGCTGGTGAAATCTAAGGGAGAGGAGTTAGGACTCACCCTAAACCCATTAAAGTGTGAAATCATCTCATCTAGCCAACCAACCATAGATGCAGTGCGAACCATATTGCCAGGAGCCCAAGTGATCGCTCCCACTGACAGTGTGCTGCTAGGGGCACCTCTGGGCTCGAGCGCCATTGAGGTAGTCCTCGAAGAAAAGCTGAACGACCTGAGGAGGATGGAGGGAAGAATAGGGGCTTTGGACGCCCACGATGCTCTGTACCTTCTCACAAGGTGCCTGGCTTTGCCCAGACTGACCTATTTCCTAAGGTGTGCTCCCTCCTTCGACAGCCCAAAATTAACAGAATATGACTCACTCCTAAGGTCAATAACCGTGAAAGTGTTAAACCTCTCCCTGCAAGATGACCAATGGGACCAAGCAACGCTCCCAGTTAGACTCGGGGGGATAGGTATTCGCAAGGCGACACAGTTAGCATTGCCAGCATTCTTATCCTCGACCAGTGCAACAGCTGAATTAGTTAAGGAAATACTACCGGAACACATAAGAGACTCCATTGGGATTCATGATCCCAAATTCGCGGAAGGAGCCGGTCAGTGGGACACTCGTCAACTCTCATCCTCGACCGACTTTTCCAAATGACTGCAA